GGGCAGCGAGTGGACCCGGACCGCCCACGCCCGTCTCCAACAGGAACTTTCCCGCGTGGCGCGTCACTGCGGGGAGAGGGGAGGTTCTCCAGACGCCCCCTTCTCTCCCTTCCCTTCCCTTCGCCCCACTTCCCCTCTTCCCCTTCGGCCGGGCGGGCGCGCGCGCGTGTGAGAACGACGCGGCGCTAACCGAGTTAGCTTGCCGCCTCGCTCACGAGATGGAGTCTGTGCCAGTTTCCAGACTTAAGAAGTTGGTTTGGAGGAAAACTTTTAACTGCATGTCGCGAGTTAATTTTAGTTCTGTCATAAGTTTGAAAGAAAATACTTGTCATTAATTAGAAGAACGTACACGGGCTGGCTTGACACTCGAGAAGCGCAAGCAGCGAACGCGGAGCGGGGGCGGGGCGGAGCCGGCGCCTGGGAGCCCCGCTGACGGCGCCGCGGGGCAGACGTAGGCACGGATTTAGAGTGCGCCCTGGGGCCACTGAACTTTGCGTCCCTTTCAGTTGCAATGGCAGCTGAGCTGTAACGCAGGCCCTCTTCACTACGCGTCTTAAGGCTACGTAATCTTAACCTTACATGGGGCTTAACGCATTCGAGCCGTAACAGTATAGTGTTTTAACGCTACAGGATAATAACGCTAGAGGTAATAACGCTACGGAATAGTAACGATACAGAGTAATAACAGAGTAATGGGGGGGGTAATAATGATATTACGATATTTACGATATTGCATTACTACTCTTTGCCCTACGGGGTAACACTACAAGGTCGTAATATTTGCGAGGCTATCACTGCTCGTTCTGTGTTTAATGTGATTGAATGACTTCCAATATTGCCTTTCTTGGTACCTGATCAAAGAAAAGAGTGCAATTGCAAAATTGGTGCATCTAATAAGAGACACGGTCATTTCTTTACAAAATATGATATTGTTCACAATTGTGAACTTTTAGGAGAATCGTTTTGGCGTCTTTTGTACTCCCTCGATCTTTACAACCTGACCCACAGCTCGATGCTGAACGTCTCACTATTCATGTCTTCCTCGTGTTACATTTAATGCAAAGCAATGAAATGCACAGAGGCAAGATACTGTTTGCGGGAACTTGTACGGTCCATGATCGGAAAGGAAAAAAACGAATATTAATGAAAGGGATGTGTGGTCAAAGCAGAAATTCCCTATTGGGCAGATGTGCATGGTCTTCAAGTAGAGTGCCAACAGAACTGAAATGTATTTTGTGTTAGGTGAGCTCAGTCTCTACTTGAAGTGCGAGGTTGTATGTATATAAATACGATACTAACCGTGCTCCTACTTAAAGTGGAGCATAGGGTAGATGATAGAATCAAACGTGTTCGACTTAATTTTGTATTTGACGCATTGTCATAATGTGAAGATTACTGTTGTTTGCGGCAAATAAATATCACCTAATTTTTTGAATGCTATTGTAATTTATTCCTATGCGTTTTTGTGTCTTCCGCACACAATACAATGTACGGACAAGATATACAATTGGATGGAAGAGTTGCAGATTGAATATTCGTGCCATATAATATCGTTACTTAAAAACTAAGAAAAACCTTAATTACGTGTATGTATTCGTGTGTCTTTAGATGTGTTGCCTTCGGCTCTTTCAGATGTTTCCTGTACATGACACAATAATAACACGTAAAGACAGCAGCATAATTTAATACCGATGGGTAAAATTCAATTGAACCCCTTCGAATGGTTAAATAGTTTATGACATATTGATGTAATATGTGAGAAAATAATAGAAAGAGTAATGATTTCTAAAGCTCGGTGTTGGATTTATGAAGCCACATTTTTTAAAGGAGCACCGTAGCGCGTGAGTAAGCTTTAGCAGCTTGGAATATAAATCAGCAGTAAGTTTCTGCATAGTCTGAAACTAGATACTGAAAACTATTAATAACGTGAGATACGTAGTAATCGTTTAGCGTGTCCGGATCTAAAGGCGGTTTGCGCGAATGTTTCCTTTTTAGATATTACGCTTAAATACACATCGTTCAGAACTGCTACAATTGTGTTTGTTACTACCGCAAGAATTCATTGTATTTCGTTTCGTGTTTGCTGTGTTATCTTGCTGCTCCTGGAGGGCCTACAACAATGCAATGTATTCCTTAATATTTAGTTTGTAATAAAGTATTCGTTACCATAAGTCGGCGAAAAATTATTTTCAAATATGTCTGTATCACGGTTATGATCGCCCGGCTACTTTCTCGCAACAACGAAGCGAAGAAGAATAAA